AGCAGACGACACTGACCATGGCCTCCTCCCCCGTCCCCGATGCCTGCAGACAGAGAGAGCCTCTCTGTTCACCTCTCCTGCTCCTGCACAGAGGCCCACCTCGCCTCCCTCTCAGGCTGGCATCGCAGACAAGCTCCAAGGAGCCAGGACTGCCAGCCCAGAGAGCAGTTTCTGGCAAGCGCACTCAGCAAAATGGGAAGAGAGAGAGGGAAGCCGAAGGCAAGACTGTTTGCAGCTCCCCAGCAGCCACTGGCATCCTAGAGGCTGCGTTTCAAACAGCAAGTGAAATTATTTCCTGTACAAGACATTAAGGCAGCACCAAGAGCTGTACTGCCAGCATCCTCCCTAGGAAGCGAGAAGCTAAGTGATTTGGGGGTAAAGAGATCACACACGGGCAAGGTGAGAGCTCTGCTACTGCCTCCCCACGGGTTACCACGATGCCAACAGAGGTGGTAGTTAACAGGAAACTGCTCCGACTACATCCTTAGCCAAGGCAGAGCTGTGAGGCATGGCAAAAGCAAAGACAGAAAATATCCAGAGTATTGCAGGAGCCCTGGGGAAGGTGGATGAGAGGCACTGAAAGGAGAATTGCTGCTGCCCTTGCTGCTTCCATCTCCCCAAAGCACAGCAGAGCAGCCTGAACGAGGAGGAGGAGACGTCACCAACATCAAACCACTCATCTCAGACGCAGCCGAGTCGAGCCGCATGCACCCGGCCAGCCTGGGCTTTCCGGCAGAGCAGCAGCACCCTCTGCGGGGTGTGCCATGAACAACAAACCCCCATCCCGCCTGCACCATCCATTTTCCCTTGTCCCCCATGTCCCTCAACCATCACAGACTCCTTGGGCTGCCTGCAAACAAGCAGCTGGAGGAGCAGAGACAGACATCCCTACCCACTGCCCTGCACACAAGAGCGAGTTTCTGCTTCGTTTGTCGAGGACTGGCAACAACCAGACTCCTAATGTCCCTCTGGCTCTGGGAAAGTGCATCCCCTCTCAGCGTGGGGTTTTTCCACCCTGCTCACCCCAGGCCAGCTTGCAGGGAAACAGCGCACACAGATTTTGCTGCCTCAGCACACAGCAGGCTGTACAAACTTAGCATCTCATCCCAAACCTGACGTGCAGCTCTGCAAAGACCACAACTGGTACGGGCACAAGAGACTTTCAGTCAGATTTAGTCCCCTTTGCTCTTAAAAGGGGGAAAGGAAACAATTTCTTCCTCCGTCCAACAAGCAGGTAAAAAGCTGGTTTTACCAAAGACCAGCAAAGTGGTGCCAAAGTGCTCATGGCTCATCTCCAGGCTTTAATTTCACAAGCTGGAGAGCAGAAGTAGGGAGGGGGATATTTCCCAGCCTGCAAGATGCGTCTTTTTCTTTGTTTCAGATGCACATCCAGCTGCAACACTAGGGAGGGCTCAGTGGGCATGATCTAGCACTTTACAGCATGACAGGAAAGATCCTTCTGGGTTTCCCAGGTGGGCCTACAGAACGAAGGCACAGGAGTGTCTGGCCCATGTCCTGAAGGACGCAGGACCTGAAAGCTGCAGCCGGAGGAGTACAGTGGGACAGTGATATATCCTCAGACAATGTGGACACAGTGGACACAAGCAGAAAGAGGAGGCCAGTGGGATGCTTGCAGGAGAAAATGGGGTGTGGGGGCTACCAGAGCAAGAGGACTTCAGCAGCTATGCCATGGTTGGCACAAGAGGCTCAGCAGATCCAAGGAAAACACCACGCTGCCCATCCAAGCGCCCACAGGCAGGCATTTTCCTTACCCTCACTTCCTTCTCTTGGGAACCACCTAGCTGCCTCAGGGCCACAAAACTAAAATGACCTCCCCTTAGCCCTTCCCATACCTCCTCTACCTGAGAAACCCACAGCCCCAGTGAGGCAACAACTCTACCTCTTGCCCAGTCCTGATCACAGACTCCAGCAGGGCTCCGGTGTAGCAAATGGAGGATTCGGGAATGTCCATGTGGCTACGCAGAAGAAGACAACAGAGCATCAGAGCTATGACGTATCAACCCATCCATCCTGACACTGCATACTGTGCCCACAGGCAAGGGTCAGTACAAGACCAAGGAATCCCTCCATACAGGAAGGTCATGGTGGGGAGACAAATCTCTGTGCATTCCTCCCATGCCCAAGTTATCCACCCAAAGTGGCACAACAGCTCGTTCAGCTTTAAAGGATTCAAAGCCGAAGCTGCCAACGTGCAGCCTTTCCTCACAAGACCCCTCCTCGAGTCAGGAAGAAGAGGCCCAGGCAACCCCTTTGTTCTATGCAACAAGGTCTCGTTTTTGGCAGAAGGTCTAAACTGCTACAGGGAGGCTTTCCAAAGCTGTAGGGAGACCCAACCTTGTGAACCACCACAGGGTCTCAGAGGATTTCATGAGACATCCTGCAAGGTCCAGACAGCTTCTCTTCCAGCTCTGCCAACAATGAATGTCTCAACATCCCATCTGCATGTAAGGGCAGGACCACACTGCCTCCTCACCCTTAGCATTGCCATCAGCAGAAGCTACAGCACCATGTGCTTGCCCTCCCCACCTTCTCTTGGGAAGCAGCTCACAGCATCAGGACCACAACTGAAATGACTTCCAGATTTCATAAAGCCAAAACAACCCACAACATCCCCCAAAGTGTGAAGCTGACAATGGGGTTACCAGGGACATGGCACAAGCCAGGAGAGCGGCAGTGACTCCACACAGCTGCAGATCTCCCAGCCTCAGCTGCTGCTCGGTACGACTTACAGCTTCAGCAGGTGCCTGACGATCTGCTCAGGAATGAGGCGTTTCTGGCAGACGGTGTCGGCCTGCCACACCACTGCCTCGCAGATGCTGCCATCCTGGAACCGCCGCAGCTCTGATTTCTCCCCCCAGAAGGTCCGGAAGTCCAGGGCCTGCGGGAGGACATTGGCCAAGCCAGGCCAGGGACACAGGTCACCACTGGGGCCAGCCAAATCATTCCCACAACCAGCAGCCAGCCCCGCAGCCATCCGCAACCACAGCATGACACCAGCTCTGCTCCACCCCACTCGGCACAAGCAGGGCTCCCCTCACCTCAGGGTGATCGGCCTGCGGTCCCTTCTCCAGCGTGCCGGCAGCAAACTCGGGGACAAACAGGAGCCCAAATGTCAGGGGCCCAACATCCTTGTGTTTTGGGGGCTCAGCGTCAATCGGCCACTGCAGGAAAATGGGGAACATGAATCACACGGAGAAATGAGATTGCTGGAGCAGCAGCTGCCGGGACATTGGGCTGCTAGATGAACTTCCTGCTACATGCTCTTGGTTGTCAAGCACGGACAGAGAAAGCCTGATTTAATAGGTCTCCCTGATGAGAAAACCAGTTGTCTTCACCCTGCCCCATTGTTGGGCCAGGAATTCTGCCCAGACCAAGCCTCCCAGCTGCACCCCAAACCCCAGTGCAGGGCCTCAGGTCCTGTATTCCCCTCAAAGGGGACAGGCCTGTCTCCTCCCCCAGTGAGCAAAGATCCCCTCCCCATGTCCAGCAGTGCCATGAGGGACATACGAGACCCCATGTGCTGCAAAGGATGCGGTGTCATTGCTGAGCTGCATTACCTCGGAGATCTGGGGCAGGGAGTGAGTCACAAGCAGCGCTCCCCCCGCCAGCCCACGGGCCAGCAGCGAGACAACGAAGGGAAGGGCCGCGGCCACATAGTTCCCTCCCCGATCCATCAGCTCGTTCAGCAGCTGCATCTTCTTGCAGGCACCCTGCAGCTTGGAGACATGCTTCAGGCTACAGAAGGAGAGAAACTGGTCACCCACCTCTGCCACCAAATCCTTTCTGAGAGAGATATGCTAGAGGATGGATAAAGTGGGAAGCTGAGGGTCCTGGCCCAGGATGGGGGCTAGAAGAAGAAACACTGCACTTTGGCATCTCACGATGCACCACAGGAGATGCTGGTCCTTGGGACAGTCACCATTCCCAAAGGCCAAAGCATTGCCTCCCTCCTCCTAGAAGGCTATCTAGACAGTAAAAGTGGAATGGCCAAATGCAGGAGGCACCAGTGTCTATCTCAGAGCTAGCAGGGCCACCTCCCACCAGGCAGGTCCGAATCCACCTCAGTCCAAAGCCAGAAGCAGCCCATTCCTCTCTGAACAGGCTCCTCACCATTACCCCACCAGCAAAGTGAGACTCACTGGAAGACATGGTCAAAGGCTCTGAGCATGGGCTTCGTGGTCATGAGCAGCACCTGAAAGCCATCCACTGTCCGATCATCCAATATTTCCATGGAGCGCTTGGCTTCAAACTGGACCTGAGCAAGGAGACAAGACAGAGCAAGAGCGTGAATGGGAGGGGAGAAGGAAAGCAAATCCCTCCAGCAGTGCTCACCAATGCTCCCCCACCAACCACAGCCACCCCAGCTCCATGGATCAGCAGACCCTGATCCCAGAGAGCCTCTGTCTTCAGTGTGAAGTCAAGTAACCAACAATTGTCACTGCTGGCCAGACAGTCCCTCCTTGATATCCCTGCCACCAAGGTAGTTTTTTTCTGCACCAAAACAGTTATTTCTGCTAAACAGTGTGGAAGCCTGGCTAGCTGACCGGGGACATGTAAACATTCACCAAGGTAGGTCTTTTCTGCACCAAAACAGTTATTTCTGCTAAACAGCTGCTTGGCTTCACCCAAAGGTGCCCACAAGGAGGAAAACAACTTTCCTCCATCATTCAAGCAAGACAGGTAAGCCAGCACTACATCCAAGTCTTAAATTCACTTCTAAGCTTCAGAGCTGGAGACGGATGTTAAAAGCCTAAAAAGCAGCACTGATCCCCCTCCCTATGTCCAATGTCCTCCTCCAAGACATCTAACCACCCTCTGCCTGCCTCAGCTTGCTCCTCAGCTGGGGACAGCATCTCAAGATACCATCACAACCTGGCCGGTACCTGGTGGTATTTGCTGGCAGTCATATCAGCGCAGAGGTTCACCAGCCCAGAGGGATCCACAAAGACCACTTCAAACGCCTGGTGGAAGTCATCCAGGACAGGCTGGAAGAGCAAACACAGTCCTTAGTGCCACGATGCAGCACAGACACCAAGGCACCACCACCCCGTTACCATCTGACATCCCTGTAACAGGCACATCCCTGCCCGGGCAACGCTGGCAGCACAGCCAGACACAGGGACGAGCCCCTTCCCCCGGAGGGTTGCTTACCAGGGAGGCATCCACATCCTTCGCTAGGCTGATCCCCATCACGCTCAGGTCAGTGGTAGCTGTGGGCAGACAGGAAGGAACAAGTCATGCTGCCATCCACATCTCCCCCACTGGTGAGGGTGGTACAGCTATGTGCCAATACCACTGTAGTCTCGCAACACAAACAGTGCTACAACATAACGCAGGCCTCCACCACTACCCACCTCTCTGCAAGCTGCTCCATCCAGCCCTGCTCTGATGCCTCATCCCCTTCTGTCCATCCCACCCACAGGGTCTCAGCATCAGAGGGAGAAAAGCCACAATTCCCCCTTCTCCCCATGGTGTTCAGGCTTTGTACAGAGACGCTGCTGACACCAGCCTTTCCCTAGAAACTCACCCAGGAACTGCAGGGTGCTCCTCAGCACCTGGTACCCACTCATCATCTTGACGATCTTGCGTTTCATCAGCAGGTAGGCAACCAGCATGGAGACCAAGAAGCCGCTGAAGCACCCCAAACCCTGTGAAAATAGACGGCCGAGTCAACAAGAGCTCAATGAGGCACTACGAGGCCCAGAGCCCACCCCACGTGACTGCTTCTGGCTTCTGTCATCACCAGCAGGGCAGCCCCCAAGCCCCAACCCCGCCAGGAAGACATTGAGGCAAAGCCCTGTACAACAAGCAGAGATACGGATCCCCTTGCAGGAAAGCAACACCTCAAAGTTCTTTGGGAAATGGGATGAATTGCCCCCCCCAAAAAAAAACCAAACCCAAAAACCCACTACATCATTCCGGGGATCTCAAAGAAGCATGATTGTCCAGTACACACAAGACTCATTGCAACCCACAGGATAGGATGGAGCTCCTTGAAACCTAACACAGCTCAAACCAGTCACAAGCCCACCACCCACCCCACCAGGACCAAACTACCACCCTTCCACCCCTAGGAAGGGAGAGCAGGCCAAAGGCAGGTTAGCCAGGTGAGCAGAGCCTGCCCTGTCCCCTGGCACAGGACATACCTTGCTGAGCTGCCGCTGGTTCAGCCAAACTTTGAGAAGGGCCAAGCCATCCTTCATGCCTGGGAAGTCAGCGGCTGCGCTAGACAAGAAGTGCAGGTGGGACAGCAGCACCGTGTCGCAGATGATGGAGTTGTTGTAGTGCGGGGTCGGGGGCTCGGGGGCTCCTGTGTGGGGAGACAACAGCACGTTGGACCCAACCACAAACCTCCTGTTCACAGAAAAGGGCTGCAGCGAACCCACCTCCAGGCACTGGGTGCAGTCTCTGGCTGAACCAAGTAGCCTCATGTTCCCCCAGCCCCAGGCCTTACCTTCTTTGGGGGTGCTCTGCTCCATGAACCAGGCTGTCCGGACGTTGTTCTTGCTGGGATAGAAGCGGCTGGGTTTGAAGAGACCCGGGGCAGGACAGGCATGGAGTCGGACGGTGACCATCTTCTCATCTTTGCCTGTAAGCACCAGGGGGGAAATGTGCAGGAGAAAGAGGTATCAGAGACCCAGAGACTAATGGGGGAGCATCCCCAGCTTGGGAAAGGACAAAGCTCCTTCCCAGCAAAGCTCAGCAGCAGTGGAAATCATCTCAGAGCAGGGAGTGACCACATCCCAGGGCCAACAATAACCCTGAGGTCACATTGCTCATGTCCAAGTCCCATCTTCATCCCCACCGGCCAGTCTGGTACCCCAGCACTCTCCTGTCTGCCCTGGCCTTGCCACGCCACTGCTTGTCCCAGACCCAAACCCGCTCTCGCCTCAGGTCTGCGGAAACAAGCAGCTCCCAGCAGCCCCTGCATCCCACATCATGTCAGAGAAGAGCCAGGCTGCACACAGCTGCCTGGGGAAGGCAAGAGGATGGTGGGGAGCAGGGGTGGTGAGAGCAGGGACAAAGGATAGTGCTAGACACAGACATGTTTTTGTAGGGTCTGCTTTACTCCCTGAAGTACCTACAGGGTGGGCCAGCCAGCAAGGCTGGGGAGCCCAGCCAAGCTGCAGAGGGGTGACTGGGAAGGGAAGAGACCTTGAGGACTAGACTCTGTGTGGAAGGAGAGGACAACTGGGAGCACCAAAGCTCCAAAATTTATCACCAATTGTGACAACAGCCCTAGACTGACCCCTCTCCAAAGGACCTGTTACATGGTATGAGACCAGCACCACCATCCTCCACCCGACGCCGGTACCCACTCACAGCCCCCACCAGAGCAAGGCTCAAGTACTACCTTGAGGCCTCAGGAGCAGGATGGGCTTCAGATGGTTGCTGTTCATGTAGGCAAACTTCACACTGCCGAAGAGCTTCTCCTTGGAGAGGTGCTGGGCAATGTGGGCCAGGTACAGAGCTCTCTTCCGGTGGTAGCGCTGGTTCAGGTTATCTTTGTCCTGGAAGATTTCCTGGGAAGAGAGGGACGGGGCAATCCCACCTCACCTGCCTGCAGAGCCCAGTTCAGCCCGAGGCACTACACCACCCACCGCTCCCCCTGGCGCCACAGGCAGCCCTATCTCAGACATGCAGCTACAGCCCCAGGGAGCTCCACGTCGGCCAGGATCACAGGAGACAGAGCAGAGCCATGCAGCCAAACAGGGTGTAGCTTCATCTCAAACCCCGTTAGAGCAAGTCTGGGCAGCAAGGGGAGGGAGCTCTAGAGGGCTAACAGTCTGCAAATATCACCCTCCCTGTAACACAGACTTGGGAGCTGGGGCAGAAGGACAATGGGGGACAAAGCTGTACAGCATCTATCTCTCTGGCAATGTGGAAGAGGTTCAGCCCAGGCAGAGAGAAGGAAGATCCTCATGAGTAACTAAAATCAAAGCAGCTGAAAGCTCTGACTGAGTGAGCGGTGAGACTGCACTCCCCAGCTCCTCATGGGAGCCACCACACTGCACGTCCAGATGCCGCAACCTCACTCAGGAACGGAGAGGACAGGGCAGGGGCTGCGGGGGACAGGAGGGGACAGAGCTCAGCCGGGCCCCAAGCCACTTGGGAGCAAGCATGGCCAGACTCACCCGCGGCATGGTCACTGCCACGTCAACGTTGATCTCCGGCTTAATGCAGGTGCCCAGCAGGTAGCTGCCCACCACCTTCAGCTCGGCCGGGGACAGGAAGCGGAACCTCCCCTTCACGCTGAACGGCACCTGCAGGAACGGGACCTTCACGCCCTCGGGGAGCCAGGCCTGGTCAGTGAGCTGGGAACAGACAGGACACGTGAAACGCTCTAAGCGTCACCAACAGCGCACGTGCAGAGAGCAGGAACCCTCTACCCACACAACTGCAGGTGCCTGCACCCAGGGCTTAAAGATGGAGCGTCCCCCTCTTCCCTCCAACATAAAGTAAGGTGATATTTTTTCAGTCCCTAAGGGAGATACTCCACAGGGACCTCTGCCTGTACAGCAACAGCAGAGCCCGCTCCACACAGGGGCCTTGCCACCACCTCCTCCATCCCTCTGGGACGTACTTCAGTTTCTGGGGTCTCTGGGATGGCACTTAGCAGGCTGTTAATTTCATGGAGGAAGGCATCAATCTTCTTCTTCTTCGTCTCCTTCAATGTCACCTCCTTCAGAAGCTCTTCAATCTGTAGGGGGAAAGGGGAACACAAAAGGCAGCTGCAACACTGGAATTGCTCCTGCCCTTTACCTCATCCTCCAGCACCAAGCGTGAGCCTGGTGAAGAGAGCAGCAGGTGAGCTGGGGAAAAGCACCCAAGCCTCTCCACAAACCCTGCCCGGAGCTGGGAGTCCGGTCAGCCCAGGGGCAGAAGGATAATGCAGCTGCTGCCATCTCCTGTGAAGTGCTGGATGGAAATCAGCTCTATCCCACCAGCTTTTGTGTGAGGTCCAGCCACAAAGAAACTGGCGTGATTCATGCAGGCTTTGCTCCCAGAAAAGTTTTTTGTATGACAGAGTATCACCTCCAGGAAATGACCTTGCAGACCCTAGAGATCCTGCCACCAAAACCAGCAGATCTTCAGGAGATCAAAGCCACTCCTCATAAAATCACCAACCTTACAACCACAAGGAGCCATCTAGTCACCAGCCTGACCTCCCCCTAAGACAGGCAGTTTGCTCCCAGGACATAAACCAACCCTCCTGTCCCATCCAGAAGCTGGTCAAAGACAGGAGCCGGGCACACCTGGTGACGTTACCTCCTCGCCCCAATAAGCAATAAATCACGGCAGCGAGGGATGCAATGGCTGCACTTCCGCCACACTGCAGTTACGTGCTGGAAAGGTTCAATTTTAATGGTGTAGAAGAGGCACAGAGCCTGGCGTGGGATGGCAATAAGAATTACGGCGGAAACATCAGTAATGCGCAGGGTGCCTTGTAACGCCTGTGCCTTCTGTCCCTGCTCCGTGCCCAGCTCCTCCAGAGGAGCGGCCGCTGCCCGGACTTACTGGGTCAGGAGGGCTCAGGGGCCTGCCAGCGGCCCGGGTTCTCTCCCCCAGGCGGTTCCCGGAAAGCTCCGGGTCCGGGATCCCGCTGCTCCCCGGCCTCTCCCCCCCACCCCCCCAGCTCAGCCCCCAGAGGGGCAGAGCGCGGCCAACGGCGGCTCCCGGGCCGG